AAGTTAAAGCTTCAGGGGGAGGCGAGAAAGTGTCTTCAAAAAGCTGTCTGGCCGACGGGTCGAGGTATGCATTGGGGTCGTGCGGAATACGCATGACCTGGCGTCCCTGGTCTTCGTTAGGTCGGAGCTGCAGCTTGAATCGGCATAATAAGCACGGAACAGCGTGGTCTAGCACTGCGAGTGCTAAAGAAAGAGAATACTTGACTTCGCATTCGTTGGCAGAGGCGCCTAAGGGTATAGCTATATAGTCCCTGCGCTTCCAGTGCTGTTTGAAAGCGGGGTCACGTGCAGGCGCGATCCACGTGCCCGCCCCCATAGGGTGTGGCACAAAGGTGGCCGGCAGCCAAAGCTTAGATGCAAGTAAGAATCGATGGAAACAGGAGCCAGCCGTGTTAACTTGCTCCGCGTGTTGTGGGCCAGTGGCCGCTGATGTTTGCGTGCCCACTGCAGCATTGGAGTCCATTAGGACAAGAGTAGGAGTAGGCTGTGGTAAAATATGGTCGTGCACATGTCTAAGGTGCTGCCACCAGACGACCTGTTCGTGGAGAGGACGCCCTGAATGATGAGCATGTGCCACGAGGATGCTGAAACGTAGGCCGTTCTGACTGATGACGGCCGCGATAATGCGCGGGTCTTGGTGTACAATACGCACGCTGTGAGACTTAATAGGGAAAGTGGGAATGCCTTTGGCATTGGGAAAAACGGGCGTGGTAAGGTTGACCCATAGCGCGCAGCCGCAGGCATGAGTTCCAGCTTGAGACTTTGACAAAAAGACTACGTACGGGGGGACCTGGCGTTTGCCAGAGCCCGTGTCTGTGACTCGCGTCTCTTGCATACCGATAACGTCGAGCCCGTTGCGTTGAAAAGCGGCGGCCAGTTGGTGGAGGCGTCCTTTGACGGCCACGCCTGTAAGCCTGGCTCTTTGGGAGATGCGCGAGGCAGGAGTGAGAGAGAGAATGTTGGCTGAGGCTAGCCTGAGACAGCATGACGCCGTGGCGTCTGCGATCGGGGCTGCCTCTTTGAAGAGACCCGGAAAAACATCAGCAAGCGAGGTGCGCGGGGGGAGAGGAGGATTGAGACTAACTTGATGGTTCGGCGGGTAAAGCGCACGCTGTTGCTGAGGCAGGCACTCAAGCCAGAGCCATTCCAAAATGTGCGCATTGTCTTGGAGAAAGCTCATGAGGGGCGGGAGCACTGGCGGAGGTAGGAGTGCGAAGGAGTAAAGTCTGGCGACCGTGTCAACCATTTCGTTGAGCGGGTCAGCTTGGTGACCGCGCACGTGCTGCCATGTAAAGCGGCGTTTCAGGGCAAGTACCTTGCACAGACTGTCGAGGCGGCTTCTATGCTCCATTAGTGGCTCAGCCACTGTACCGCCTTTGGCGGTGGCGACAACATCCACGTTGTCTGAGTGAAAGGTGATAGGAACGGCGGGAGGGAGGGGGGACTGTAGAGCCCATAGCGCCGCCCAAGTGGCGGCATCGAATTCCGCTTTAGCGGAGACTCTATCTGCTCCCATTGTCTCCGGGGTGGGACACCCTAGGAAGCCTAGAAAGTGTCGAGTGCCGTCAAGCCATGCAAAGACCAGAAAAGCCCACGCTGGTGGGCCAGCGAGATCTCCTTTGGAGCCCCTCCGCTGGCGTCGGTATATATATCCGCGGAGTCAAAAGCCGCGTAGGGAGTATCAAAGACAAAGCTGTGCCAGGTGGGGATGGAGGAGGAGTGGAGAGCTGGAAAAATGACATCGAAGTCCCTGACCAACTGTATGGAGGTAGCCGTAAGCACCGGTAGCATCCACCTCATGGGCGGAAGTGGGCTGCGGCGTATGCCTTGCCGCCCCCCCAGGTTCACCCGTGGGCAGTGTCCGGGGGAGCGACCTGAAAAACCGTGCCGTCGCGCGTTGCCTGGGCTAAATCGTCCTGAACAGCTTGTGCCGCGTGGGCCTCGGCTTCAGCGCGGAGATCCGCAGCCTCTGCTTCTGCCATTGCATCTGCAGGGCTGCGTGGGGTAGACGAGGCGGATGCCCCTGCACGTGCCTTCGGCTCAGCCTCGGCTGTCTCGGGCCTGGGGCGACGTGAGCCACGAGGGCTCTTGCTGCGCGCTGCCTGCCTAGCTACAAAATCTTCCTCGCTGATGCCTGAAAGCGCGCGCTGCTCGGCCTGACCCGCACGCGCGGATCTGCCCCTGGCCTGCGCGCTTGCGCTGCGGCGGGAGGATGCCATGGAGACTGGCTCGCCTTTTTCATCTGAGAGGTCCCACCCAAGCTGGCTGGCAGAGCGGGTAGGCGGGGGCATGCCGCTGGGATCCTCTACGGGAGCTGCTGCCGGGCTTTGCTGGTTGATAGCTTCCTCCCTAACTGAGCTATCTTGAAACGAGGGCGCAGTGGTGATCGCCTCCCCTGTCGGCGACTTGGGCACTGGCGCTGGCCCGGGTTTGGGCGCGAAACCTAGGCGGAATAGCGGGCCTGCTTTGGGGGAAGCGCGGGCCTGTTCACATCCTAACGGCGCTGTGGCCCCCCCCCGGACCGTAGCGCCGTGGCTAGAGGCGGCGGCTGGCACTAGTTGCCCGGCCTTGATCTGTGAGACTAGGGTGTCTACTGAGTTGCGCATGGCTTGGGCCTGGGAGTCAAAATTTGCCTTGATGGTGGCAACTTCCCTGGCCATGGCCTCGGCGTTGCTTTGCATGGCCGCAGAGAGTGATGTGATGTAAGGCTGTTCCAACCCTTGGATGCCTGGGAGGGGCGCTGGGCAGTGGAGGAGTGGGGGAGAGGTCGGCGCTGCCGTGAGGGGCGTGGCCGTTCCCAGGTCATGTGGGTCGGCTTGCTCCTCACCTGTATGCGTTGCAGAGAGTGCCGCAGTGCGCTGTACTGCACCTGTCTCCTCCGCCGCGTCCCCCATCATGAGCGAGTCGGTGATGGCGGCGACTGGCGGTGCTTGCGACTTGAAATAAGCTAGTAGCATGGCAGCCTGGCTGAGGTCCGCTTGTGCGGTCTGAAGGGCCAGGGCAATGTTGCGCACGTGCTCCTCCGCCTGCGTTTGTTTGGCTGCCAATTGCTCACAATTGGCCTGCAGGGAGGCCACCACGTGCTCTTGCTCGCTAATCTTGGCCAGCGGATCCCTCGCGTTGGCCAATTGAAAATTAACTAGTGAAATCTCCTTACGGATCTCGGTGATACGCATATCGGAGTGTCCTAGGAGAGTTGAGGCCCTAAGCTGCAGGATTAGTGCCTCCTTGCTCATTGCAAGGGCCTTGCGGTGCTCCAGCAGGCGGTCGGGCTCAAGCGGGGGGTAAAGCCAGGCTGAGTGAGAGTGCGCCTCGTCTGGGGTAAGGGTAGGGCACTGCGCTGTGAGTTCCGCCTCCGAGAGTTCAGTGGCGGGATCCAGCGCTCCAAGCGAGGCGGAGGCCTGTTCGGCCGCGAGGAAAGGAGACTGCTGTACAGAGGTTGGGCCGAAGAGTGTAGGGGGAGTGGCCACGCCGTCTTGAGGAGGCGCAAAAGGGGAAGGCAGTGACTGGGGAGACTGCCCTATGATGCCTGTGTCCTTGGCCCCGTGTGGGGTGCCAGGAGCCTTCAATGGAAGCTGCTCCCCGTCTCTGCGCTGGTACTCGCGAGCTCTACGAGCGTCTTCCTTCTCTCGCTTCTTGCGCTCCTTGCTGGAGCTCCCAGCTTCTTGGACCGCATGATCTCCTGGGGGCGCAGGGAGCAGGCCGTATTCCGCTGCCCATGCAGCCACCTGGTCGAAGGACGGCGCACCTGTCGGTGCGTGGCCCTTGCCCTGGTGCATCCCCCCCGTGCTGCCTGAAAAGGAGCGAGGGCCCTTGTGGCCCGGCCCCGCGCCCCCATCATGCAGGGGCCTGTGCTGCCCCTGACCTTTGGCTGGGCCGACCTTCGCTTGTTGGTGACCTGCTGCCCGAATCGGAAAACAGTTGGGACATGAGGCATCCAAGGTGGTATTGGCCCGGCCACATTGCAGGCAATACCAGAATTCGGGCGGGGCGCTGCCTTTCTGGTGCACTGGCTGCTGGGGTGGAGGAAAAAAGTCCATGGGAAGGCGCGTGGCATAAAGAGACGGTGAGGGAGGAGCAGCCAAGCGCTGGGTGGGAGAAGTAGCCATACCGTGCTGCTGCAGCCCAGATAGTGGCGCATGCTGAGGGGGTAAGGTAGGAGGAACAGCGCCTTGCTGGGGGATGCCCTGAAAGGAGTGGTGCTGTGAAAGCATCATCGCAGCCTTGTGCACCCTTAAAAGCGTGCGGGCGTTAGCGCGCTGCTTGCGCGCTCTGCGATGAGGAGCGGGCTCGTCGCGAGGCCGCTGGGGATAGGAAGGAGGAGAGTAGGCAGGCGTCGCGCCTGTCAGATGGCGGCCCGATAGGGCGTCGCGTCGGGGATCGGCGCGGAACCGGTTATCCAACCGCTCGAGCCAAACCTGGAGGAGGGAGGAGGGAGGAGGGAGGAGGAATGAGGGGAGGAGGGAGGAGGGAGGATGAAGGAGGGAGGAGGGAAGGAGGGACGGAGGAGGGAGGAGGAGGAGGGAGGAGGTGGGAGCAGGGAGGAGGGAGGGAGGAAGGGAGCAGAGGAGGAGGAGAGGAGGAGGAGGGAGAGAGGAGAGGAGGAGAGAGGAGGAAAGGGGAGGAGGAGGAGGAGGAGGAGGAGGAGGAGGAGGAGGAGGGCGGAGGAGGAGGAGGATGGGAGGAGGAGGGCGGAGGAGGAGGAGGAGGAGGAAGAGGAGAAGGAGGAGGCGGAGTTGATCGACGGGGTGGCAAACCTCAGCGATAGTGCCGGACGGAGACGGCCGAGGAGGAGGAAGAAGAGACGGAGGAGAAAGAGGAGGAGGAGGCGGAGGAGGAGGAGGAGGAGGATGAGGAGGGAGAAGGAGGGAGGAGGAGGAGTTGGAGGAGGAGGAGGAGGAGGAGGAGGAGGAGGAGGAGGAGACGGCATTGGGGGATCCAGAGGATGACGACGAGCAGCGGCAGGAGGGTGGGAGGAGCAGACCGCTGCGGCTCCGCAGTACCGCTCCCGACGTGCGGAAGGGGATCGCGGAGTGCGACGTGAGGGACGGGGATTTCGTGACGATGGAGGCTGCCCCTGTCGAAGCGACCATCAAACGACACAAACACAAAGTTGTGGTGATCTGCGCAGATTTCTTGGATCTGCGCTGGAGCCCCCTGGCGTCGCCTCCAGCGCCGCCTCTGGCGCGCTGCGCGCGCTAGGGAGGGGGGTGCAACTCAGATCCAAGACATCCGCGCAGACCTCTACAAGTGTATCGGAGGTTGATAGACCTCCTACCCTGACACGTCGATTATGGAATTGGCCGTTTTCGGTTTTCGAGAGGGCGTTGCGGCCGTCGTTTTTGCGGGTCCAGGTCCGTCGGTTTCGGCCCCAGGCCTCTTTCACTGAGGGGAGGTTTACTAAACGGAGGTTTGTCCACCGCCGAGTGTATGTGGATGTGAATGCCGTTATTTTTGGCCTGTGCTCCCGGCTCCTCGCGTGCCCCTGCCCTCCTCCAAATCGTGTTGCGGTCTCAAGCGCCCGCCTTTTCGGCAAGCGGTGCCGACGCGTCGGTCACCGCTTCTTGTCATTGGTTCGATGTCTTGTCGGTTGAACTTCTTGTCCGTTGGTTGATTGGCAGCCCGGTTGGTTGTTTTTTGTCTGAGTTAAGGATTCAAGACGTTTCGCGTAACCCTACCAGCCCCTTCAGACTCCCTGGGCAGCAGCACCCTTGCACCCGCCGCTCGGCGCCGGCCGCGGTTCTCGCGCGCCTCCGGCCAATTTGTAGCGGCCGCAGCCCGACCGTTACCCGCCGCCGCTGGCGCTTCCGCCTGCGGCTGTAACAAAAACAAGTAACCCTACCAGCCCATCCAGAAACAATGCCCAGGCGAGTTGCCCTGATCAGGGATGTTGAGGAGCATGCAGTGGGGGGAGCATGCAGTGGAACAAAGGGTTGGGGAAGCCGTCATACCCCAAGTGGGGGAGGACGGGGAAGGAATCGGAAGAGGAGGAGGAGGAGGAGGAAACCGAGGGGGAGGGGGAGGAGGGAGGAGGGAGGAGGGGCATTAGGCGGATGAGCAGGAGGAGGAGGAGGAGGAGGAGGAGGAGGAGCAGGAGGAGGAGGAGGAGGAGGGGGGGCGAGCAGAAGGCCAGAGGCCTCTTGGATGCCTTTCGGAGTCTTTTCGGATGTCTCTTGAAAGTTTAATGGAGTCCTTTGGGGGCGTCTTGGAGGCCTCTTGGCGGTCCCAGGGCAGGGGCCTGGGGCCCATCTTGGAGGGGATCGATCAAAGAAGGGGGGGGTCCTCAATCAGGGCCGCCCCTCGCGCTCTTGGAGCGCTCTTGGGGCGGTCTTGGGACCCTCTTTGGCTCCTCTTGGGGCTCTCCTTGAGCCATCCTGAAGCCATCTTGAGGCCTCGGAGGGCCATCGAAAGCGAAAAGGCGAGAAGGCAAAACACATTGGTCTTCTGTAGGTGGTTGAAGGATGTTGGCCTTCTAGCGGCTTCCTTGAGAAGCTCCGTGGCCACTTGGAGCCGTCCTGGGGAGGTCTTGGCACTTCGTTGGGTCGGTTGCGCTAGAGCTTGACCAATTTATCGGACCATGTGTTACCCCAGCCGTCGTTGAAACCCTTCGGGGAACACGTGAGGAAGATGAGAATGAAGAGAAGAAGGAAAGGACGCAGGAGGAGGAGGAGGCGGAGGAAGAGGAGGAGGAGGAAACGGAGGAGGAGGAGGAGGAGGAGGAGGAGGAGGAGGAGACCTCCGGGGAGCCACTTGAGGCACTCTTGGGGTCTTCTGTGAGCTTCCCGGGAGCCTCTTGGAGGCTTCTTGGGGGTCTCCTTCGGCCTTTTGGGGGCCTTTGGGTGCTTGTTCGGGACCTCTTTGGCCGTCTTAGTGCGTTCCTGCGCCGTCTGACGCCGTCGGGAGCCGTCTTGGGGGCCTCTCTGGACTGTCTTGGGGTCCTCTTGGGGTGCTTCAGGGCCGTCTTGGAGGCCATCTTGGCCGTCATGGAGGCCTCTTGGGTCTTCTTGGGCCACCCTCTGGGCCGTCTTGGGGTCTTCCTGGGCCGTCCTGGGGCCATCTTGGAGGCCTCTGGGGAGCTCTGGAGACGATCTTGGGCCGTCTTGGGCCGTCGGAAGGCCGAACAGAAGCAAATGCCCAAATCCTTCAAACACCTAGGGAAAATCAATGCTTTTGGCATCCTCGTGCCCTCCTGGTGGATCTCTTGGAGGCCTCTTGGGGACCTCCTGGAGGCCTCTTGGGAGCCTCTTGGGCAGTATTGAGCCGTCTTGGAGGCTTCGTGGGCAGACTTGGAGGCATCTTGGACCCTCTGGGGCCATCTAGGAGGCCATCTTGGACCATCTTGGGGGAATCTGGAGGCCGTCTTGGCCGTCTTGGAGGCCAGCTTGGCCGTCTTGGAGGCGATTTGGGCAACCACGGCAGCCTTCCCAGTGGCTGGCGGGATCGGCCGAAGCCCCAGGGGAGTTCTTCTGGAAAAGAACAAAACCAGGGTCCGTTTTCGGTTCTCGAGAGGGCGCCGCGGCCGTCATTTTCCAGGCTTGCGCCCGCCAGGTTTGGGTCCGAGGTCGTTTTCACGAATCCACGTTATACTAAAGGGAGGTCTGTCCATCCCCGATGGTAGCAGACCGATCTCAGACGTCTCGATACTGTAGCCGTGTGTTCTTGATCATTTCCTGTTGAACGGTGTGCTGCCCAGCTCCGTAGTTTGCCTACAGCTCGAATTAAGGAGAATACCAACATTGCCTCTCCAAGGAATTGAAGAGTGAAAATATTTTGTTGGTCGCAGCTCTGGTAGCATACCGATCTCAGGCGTCTAGATACGTTAGACTAGCGCTTCTGATCATTTCCTGTCGGTTGGTGTGCATCTCAGCTCCGTAGCTCGCCTAGCGATCGAATTAAGTAGAGAAAAGCAAACACCATCTCTCAAACATAATTGCAGAGTGCGAATCGAGTTTGTTTGGTCGCAGCTCTGGTAGCAGACCCATCTCAGACGTATCGACATTGTAGGCTAGTGTTGCTGATCATTTCTTCTCGAAGGTGTGCATATCAGCACCGTAGCTCGACTACAGCCCTAGGGAAGTAGAGAAAACCAACATTGAAAGTTGAAGAGTGCACATAGCTTTTTGGTTGCAGCTCTGGTAGCAGACCGATCCCAGGCGTTTAGATACTTTAGAGTAGCGCTACTGACCATTTCCTGTTGAACGGTGTGCTGCCCAGCTCTGTAGCTTGCCTACAGCGCGAATTAAGTAGAGACAACAAGCACCACCTCTCAAGAACAGTTGCAGAGTGCAAATCGAGTTTTTGTTGGTTGCAGCTCTGGTAGCAGACCGATCTCAGACCTCTCGATACTGTAGACTCATGTCCTGTCGGAAGGTGTGCATCTCAGCACAGTAGCTCGCTATACAGCTCTAGTTGCAGAGCACCAACGTTGTCTCTCAAAAGTTGCAGAGTGCGAGTAATTATTTGGTCGCAGCTCTGGTAGCAGACTGATGTCAGGCGTCTCCATACTCCAGACTGGAGTTCCTGATCATATTCTGTCGATTGGTGTGCCTGTCAGCTCCGCAGCTTGTCTAAAGCTCGATATAAGTAGAGAAAGCTGGCATCGTTTCGGCAACAGTTACAGAGTGTGAATAGTTGTTTGGTCTCAGCTCTCGTAGCAGCCATATTTCAGGCATCTCGATACTTGAAACTGGAACTACTGATCATGTCCTCTCGGATGGTGTGCATTTCGCCTCTCAGGGTGGCCTGTAGCGCGAGCTATCTCCCAAATGCCACTAGAACCCCACATGAGTTCCCGTCGAATGGTGTGCATTTCGCCTCTGAAAGTGGCCTGTAGCTCGAGCTATCCCCCAAAAAAACATCCGGAGGACCCAAAAACAGCAAAGATAGCAAATCCCGCCTCGTTGGTTTTTTGTGATACTATCCACCCGATTGACCTGAGATTAAGATGGCGAGCGGGAGTAAAATCCAATTTGTGGGCAACAAATACTAGATCTCAAAGGAATGGTTGAATTTCGAGAGCATAATTTTCAACCGAGACCTCTTCGTCAAAATTTCCGTCGAGATTGTTCGATCCAGCTAGCCCGCTGTGGAATTGCTCTAGAGCTTAGCCGCTTCGCTCATGGGGAAGCTCTACGAGTCACTAGGCCTCAACCCGCCAGGGGCACGGTGGCGGATGACCAGAATTTTGATAGCAGAACCGTTGCAATGATGGAGGGCTTTTTTTTCAAAACGACGTTGTAGGTGGAGGTCTTTTCAGAGAGGGTACCCTAGTGTTCGTCATGTGTGTTGGATGTTCTTGTGCATCCTGGGGAGCGTACCCTTGGATCCTCTCTGTGTCTCGGCCGACGGAGGGTCTCATGTTATTGAAGGATGTTTTTTCTGGCCTGTGTCCCACTGTACCGTTGATGCAGTTCAGCGCGTCCTGGCCATCTTGCTCATCATAATCGTCATCATCGTCAGAAGCATCATCGACAACATCAACATCGTCAGTATCATCCTTGCCGTCATCCTCCTCATCGTCCTCCATCGGCTTGCGAGCCGTTGCGTGGCAGAAGACGGACCGAGAATGGCCGGGGTCCAGGATTACAGATCCAGCATTTGGCAGCATACAGTCGGCCCAGATTAGTAAGTCGACCCTGCCAGCTCAAGGGTACCCTTGTGTCCTGTGCCCCACGACACGTGCCTTCTTACCTATCCAATGGCGATGTGGCTTCCGGAAGGGTCTTGTGCCCTCTCGCGCGTCCTCCCCAATGAAGTCTGACTGCAGTGAAAAACAGACCCCGACTCGTTGGAACAGGGCGCCTGCGCGCGAGCCGAATCCAGCAGCACGTGCGAGGAACGAGCAAGCGAGCCGGGCCGAGCCCGGCGACCCGCAGCAGCTCCCCTCACGGGTGCACGGCCCCCTTGATCCCTCTCCTCCCCCTGCTGCCCACAGCGTCGCAGCGGGCCCCTCTCCTCCCTATCGTCCTCAATCTCGTGATCCTCCCCGTCCTCCTCCCTCTCCTCCCTGCAGGCGGAGCGCTTTTCGGTCGAAGCTCGTGCGCGGCTTGCAGAGATGCGACGGTGTGGCGAGGCGGACTCGAGGCGGCCGCAGTGCTTCCGCATCGTATCGCAGCGTATCCGTCTCCCGCCCCCCTGCTCCTCGCAGCGGGCCCCGCGCCCCCCTCCACCCCTCGCCGCCAGGCGGCGGCGAGCCCAGGGGGAAAAGTGAGAGGGGGCGGGCATTCTCAGAAGGCCCGGAGGTCCCCGGCCTCCCGAGGAGTTTCCCACGCCTTCCCCGGAGACGTCGAACACCTCTCCGAAGGCGCGAGGGCTTCCGAGCAGCCCCGCCGCCGTCTGGGAAGGCCTCCTCCTCCTCCTCTTCCCCCTCCTCCTCCTCCCTCCTCCTCCTCCGCCTCCTCCTCCTCCTCCTCCTCCTCCTCCTCCTCCTCCTCCTCCTCCTCCTCCTCCTCCTCCTCCTCCTCCTCCTCCCCCTCCTGCGACACCCGTGCTCCTTCAGCCGCCTCCCGCTCCCGCCTCCGCCCCCCCCCCGCGCGCCCGCTGCCGAGCGAGGGGTTCATGCAGAAGCACACCATGCACTGCGTCCCCAGGGCGTGCCCCTCCGACGCCCGCAGGAACGATCCGAGGACCCGCCTCGCCCCCTCCTGCGCCTCCTCTCGCCCTGCAGAACCCTCCTCCTCCTCCTCCTCCTCCTCCTCCTCCTCCTCCTCCTCCTCTCCTCCTCCTCCTCCTCCTCCTCCTCCTCCTCCTCCTCCTCCTCCATCTCCTCCTCCACCTCCCCCTCCTCCTCCCCTCCTCGTCCTCCCCCTCCTCCTGCTTCTCCTCCTCTTCCCTGTCCTCCTCCACCTCGTCCTCCTCCTCCCTCTCCCTCTCCTCCTCCCCCTCCTTCTCCTTCTCCTCCTCGTCCCTCTCCCCCTCCTCCTCCCCCTCCTCCTCCTCCTCCTCCCTCCTGGCGCGCCGTGCGGGGCCTCCGGTGGAAGCTCCTGGAGGCCCCGCACGGCGCGCCAGGCGGGCATGCTCCTCGGTCCCTTGCTGGCAGGCAGCCAGCAGGAGTCGTCGAGGATACGGCCAGACCGAGGCATAAGATCGAGGTCGGTTCGGGGAGGGTCGGGGGCGGAAAAGAGGGGGGGTGATGACCAGGGGGGGGGGTATCATGGCGGGGGGGCAGCAGGACATTTCCCCAGATTTCATGGCGCCTCTTCTTATTTTATTACGCCCCTGGCCCCCCCGCCCGCTGGGCCGCGCACATGCCGCCGGCCATGATTTGCAACCCCCTCCTTCTTGGACACCCCCCTCTTGGCCGCTCCCGAGGAGGGTACCTTGATGCACTTCGTGCTCACTGCATGCTCTTGTACAGCCAGCAGGAGTCATCGAGAATACGGCCAGACCGAGGTATAAGATCGAGGCCGCTCCCGAGAGGGCACCTTGCTGCACTTCGTGCTCACTGCATGCTCCTGTGCACCCTGGGGGGAGGGGCACTCTCGAGTGCTCCTCCGTTTGGCCCACGGAGGGTCTTCGTGTTCTTGCAGGCGGTTCTTCTGTCCCAGGCTCGGCCGTGGAAGAACCCCTAACCTTATGATGCTCCAACCTACTTTAGCCTTGATCACCAGACCGAATTTCGAGCACCAGAAGAAAAGCACCCAAAAACTCGAAAGTTTTCACGTGTCGGGCCCTGGGAGGCACTCGCCCGACACTGTTTCGACACTCTTTCGACACTTTTCCGGGTGCTCGATATTATTTCTGGGATGCGGTCCTTAAGTAGGATGGGAACAACATAACCCTAACCCGAATGTGACAGTGAAGACGTGGTCCCTCACTGAGGTTTCCGTCTCTGCACCAGGGATAGTAGTTCTGGGCGGTTTGGTGGTTTGAGGTATCTGCAGAGAAGACCCCTTGTCCCTAATGTGTTTGGCCTCCTAGCTTAGGTGCCCTCCCAGATGGTCAGGGGCCCTTTTATAATCGAGGAGGAGGGTTAGATCGTAGTTCACACAGAAGTTTCCGCTCGTCTTGGATGAAAACGTTTGTCTACGAGTTACGCTCAGCAGCACGCCGTAGGACCCCGCAGCGCCGAAGAGGCATTCGGATAGCGCCCAAGCAGCGACGAAAAGTGCCCCATAGCGCTATATGAGGGAGATGCATTATTCGGCGGCGAGCGAGGGGCGGAAGTCAAGAGGAGAAGGCCTTCTGAGAAGGCCGCAGGGCTTCTCAGAAAGCCTCGCGCTTTCTGAGAAGTTTTTTGCGTCTTCGGGGAAGGCTTACAAAACTTCTCAGAAGGCCGGGGGACTTCCGAGCCTTCTGAGAAGGCCCGCCCCCTCTCATTTCCCCCTTCGCTCGCCGCCGAATTGTATCCGCTTTGCGCTTGATTGGGCGAGCTATCGGACGCCATGCGACGGCCAAGCGTTTCCGGGAGTTTGTCTAAGGGGGGAGGGCGGGTGGTACATGATTGTTTCGCCGGCGTCGAGGCAGAGGCAGTCTGCACCAGCGTGTGGCTAATCGGGGCAACCGAAGTGCAAATTGTCCGGCGTGCAAGAGGCCGCCCTCGCGCGGCGCCCTCGTCTTCGTCGAAGACGAAGGCGGCCGCGCGAGGGGAGGAGGGGGAGGGCGCTCAGACGTGGAAGAGTTCCGCGATGAGCGGGTCGGAGCGGCCAGCCGGGCCAGCGGGGACCGCGGCAGCAGCCGGGGCCTGGGCCAGGGCGCGCACCCGCGGGCGCTGCCAGGGCGCAGTGACGGGGGGGGGGGCTGCGATACGCAGGACGGGGCCTCCTCCTCCTCCTCCTCCTCCTCCTCCTCCTCCTCCTCCTCCTCCTCCTCCTCCTCCTCCTCCTCCTCCTCCCTCTCCTACCTGTGAAAGCGGTGGCGGAAAAAGGGGCCCGCCAGGGGCGGCCCGCGGGGGGCGCGTGCAGAGAGCCGCGCCGCTCGTGCACCGTCGGGGCCCCGAGAGGGGGCCCACGGGGTGCACGTCGCCGCGCCCCCCGCGGGGCAGCGCCCCCCTTCCGTGGAGCAGCGCCCCGCGCGGGGCGACCGGGCGGCAGGGAGGGGGAGAGGCAGGGCTCCACGAGCTGTTCTTAGAACATTTCTGGCTGGGACTGTCTTGTTTTGTCGCATCGGGTTTGCGTTCTAAGAACACTGTTTTTGTTCTTAGAACATTTGTTGGGTTCTAAGAGCATTTCGTGGTAGGACTATAGGAATGCCGGGACGGTCGGTCCCTGCTCAAAGGGAGGAACCAGCGGAGGGAGGCGGGCGGAGGGGGCAGAGGAGGACATAATTCCCTCGCCCTTTGGGGGGGTCCTGGTTCAGGCGATCGATCGCAAACATGGATCAAGGGGGCGTGGATCAGCGACGGGCCCCCTTTCCACGGGAAGTCGCGGATTTCCGCCGCCGAACGAGGCGGCAAGGGCTGCATTTTGGGGATGACACCTCACCATCGATCCACGAATTTGGCGACCGCGCGCCAAACCCATTCATCGCTAATCCATGTTTGCGCGCCCCCGACTTCTTGTCTTTCGTGGTCCCCTCGTACGTCGAGGCCTAAGTTTAAGTCCGGCACGTCCCTCTACAGCAGGAGTATTCCCAAATCGTAAAGCATAGCTTCCGATTATTTCTTGACCATCTGTGGGCCAGTTTTGTTTTTTCCTCCAAAATCCGCTTGCAGAGGAGGACACGCCCGACCTGAGCCTAAGTTTGATCGCGCCCCCCCGGGGCGAGATCGCCCCCAGGGGGGGGCGGCTGCGTTCGGCCGACACACCGACGTCGACAGCCCGAGCCCGAGGAGGAGGAGGAGGAGGAGGACCAGGAGGACGAGGGGGATGAGGAGAAGGAGAAGGAGAAGGAGGAGGAGGAGGACGAGGAGGACGAGGAGGACGAGGAGGACGAGGAGGACGAGGAGGACGAGGAGGACGAGGAGGACGAGGAGGAGGAGGAGGAGGAGGAGGACGACGACGACAACGAGGGAGGGGGGAGGAGCTGGCGAGGGCAGGAGGAGGGAGGGAGGGAGGTGGAGGGCTTCCGCCGCCGCCTTGGCCTCCCCCTCCGCCTCTCCCTCATCAGCCTGCCCGCTGCTTCGACGCCAGCCTGCGCACGGTGCCAGGCATAATGATCACCGAAGTGTCACTATTCGATCGTCTTTCCCATCGTCCTCTCGCAGGTATGGTTCCTCCTCCTCCATTCCTTTTCCTGATGCGCAACTCCTCCCTATCGCACATCGAGGCCTGGCGGAAGGGCAGGCCGGACGTTTTGCCTGATACTTCCTCACCATGTATGCCCAGATCCTTATCCTTTTACGCCCCCGACCTCCGGGCGACCCTACAAGACCCCGGAGCCCTTGGGGCCAAGAGCGGCCGAGGACGTCCGAATATTCTCCCCTCGGGGGTCGAGGGCAAAGCTTACTTGCGAACTTCACGCCATACCTGCCTTCACGTATCCCACCCGTCTGCTCCAGATCGCCCAAGGGGGGATCAGAGTAGATGAGGTCGGAGCATCGCGCCGCATCGCCGATGTCCAGAGCACGCACTTGTCATCCCGACGTCGCCGATGCACGGAAGACGCAGTGCCATCCTCCAACCCCATCTACTCTGGCCTCATAGGGAGGCCTGGACGGCGATCTATGGAGGTCCCAGGTGCTCCCTGGTCCCAGGTCCTCCCTGGAGGCCTCTGGACGTGTCCAGTGGTGGCTGGAGGCTTCTGGAAGGCCAGAAAGAACAAGAACACCGATCTTCGATAATCATCGGTGATCGCTCCAGCATCTTCTGGGCAGCCTCCATTTGCCCTACCTATGACCCTCTCGCTTCCTCTTCCCGTCCATGCTCGTTTTCGTATTGATTTGATTCTAGAGTCTTACGCCATTCCGCGCCCCCCCAGGAGAGGATACGTGCGGCTTCCGATGTCATATGCGTTATTTGCCGCTTCCCGTTTTGCTCCTGCGTGTAGTTGTTGCTGATACGTCCTCATCCTCCGCGTCTGTTGCTGGGCTTCTTGGGGGCCCTCTTGGAGGAGCCTTTTCAGAGCTCCTAGATGCTTTGGAGAGCGTTTCTTTCTGTTCGGCGATGACGGGCGTCATGGGGGGGGGGGAGCGGGGGGGGTATGACGTAACGCCCCCCCCCCCCCCCCCGCCGCGTGGTTCTGGCACCACAGCCGCGCACGACACGACGAGCGACGAGCAGCGACGACGACGACGACGGCGAGGACGACGCGAGCAAAATGTAGGTGGCGATATACCCCACTGCGCCTGTGTACACATCGCTCGCGTGCACCAGAACGCGCGCGAACACCACAACACCTGCGCACACCGCAAGAACTGTGTGCAACGCAGCGCCTGTGTACACCACAGTGCTTGCGTACACTACAGCGCCGGTGTACATGTGTACACCGCAGCAACCATGTACAACAGAGCGCCTGTGTACACCACAATGCTTGCGTGCACCGCAGCGCCTGTGCACGCCATAGCGCCTGTCTACACCACAGCATCCGCGTGCAACGCAGCGCGACTGTACACCAGTGCCTGCGTGCAGGACAGTGCTGATAATCGAATGCGTGACGTTCTTCCCTCTTCCCTCCTCCTCCACCTCCACCTCCTCCTCCTCCTTCTCCTCCTCCTCCTCCTCCTTCTCCTCCTCCTCCTCCTCCTCTTCGTCCTCCTCCTCCTCCTCCTCCTCCTCCTCCTCCTCCTCCTCTTCCTCCTCCTTACCCCCTGTCGTGCGGGGTGGCGCTACAGCGCACGTGCGCATTGCAGCGCACAGTGCACCGCATAATGGTCTACTGAATCGGTCCACTTGGTTCTCGCACGGCCAATTTAGCTGGAGCCTCCTGGACGCAGATGGGAAAAGTTAGGGTGATGCGGGCGGACTCGGGAGAACTCGTAGATTCCAGCGGCGCTCCGTTGTCCATAAGGATTATTGTGTATCGTTTTCTGTTGAATCCACAAGCGCTCCATTTTGTCATACGGATTCCTTCCTACATTCGATATGCAAGTGTGGCGCTGTGTTGCACACGGTTGCTGTGGTGCACACGCGCCGTGGTGTACACAGGCACTGCAATGCACGCAGGCATTATGGTGTACACTGGTGCTGTGTAGTACACGGCTGATGTGGTGTACGCAGGCGCTGCGGTGTACACAACAGCTGTTGTGCCCGCGAGCACGGTGGCACAAATTGACGCTGTGTTGCACGCGGCTGCCGTGGTGTGCACAGGCGGTGTGGTGTACACAGGCGCTGTGGTGTAAGCAGGCACTGTGGTGTACACAGGCGTTGTGGTGCAGATCGCCACCAACATGCTGGTGCTACCCGTCCTCCGCCACCGCTAGGCATTCCCAGACGCCGCTGGCGCGAAACAACATGTCATCGACCCCCTCCACACCCCCTCAGATGATTGCCATGATCGGCACGGAACAAATAGCAGGCTTCAGCCGCGTCCGTGCGCACGACGACGATGAGCGACGAGCCACGAGCGATGACGACGACGACGACGACGACAACGACCAGACTCCTATTCGGATTCTTGCGCGGACACCTACGCGGATCCCAGCGCGCGCGGCGGCAGTGCCCGGAGCGCATTGAGGGGGGAGCGTTACGTCATAGGGGGGAGAGGCGGGGGCCATGACGCCTGTCATGCCCCAAACGATAAAGAAATGGTTTCGTGGGGGTCCCCTATGAGGCCTTCTCGGGGGCCTCTTTGGGGGTTCTCGGTAACTTCTTGGGGGCACGTATGGGACTCGGGGGCCATATTGTGGGGCGAGTTGCCCCTCTTGGTCATCTCTTTGAGTCCCCGCGAAGGCACGCTTAGGATGAGGAGGATGAGGAGGAGGAGGAGGAGGAGGAAGAGGAGGCGTTTGAGGGGCCTCTTGCACAATCTCGGTGCCTTCTTGGGCTATGTCAGGGCCGTTTGGGGGGGTCCTCTTGGGCAGTTTTTTGCCAGTCAGGGGGGGCGTCTCGGGCCGCCTTGGATTTTGACAAGCCCGAAATAGCACGACCGCGCCAAACCACACGGAACTCTGTATGATGCTTGTTTCTTGAAGCCTTCTTAGAGGTCATTTTGGGTGGGGCGTCTCAGGGGCGTATTGGGCTCGTCTTCTGGCAATATCGAGTGTTTTTGAGGTTTCCTGTGTGTTGGAGTCCTTTTGGAGCCATGTCAAAAGGCATCTTGGGAGGGCCCCAGAGGCGCGTTGACGAGCTCGTCCCCCAGACCCCCATTGAATTGCATCTTAGACCCAAGGAGAGGAGAAATGGGGGAGGCAGCCGGATGTCTCACACGCCTTAGGTATTTTCCCCCGTGGAGGGCGTGACGTTCCGTTTTGTTGTTCGCCTCTTCAAGCAGTTAAGCAGCCACCGAGCACAGGTGTATCCACGTGGATTTCGCGCTGGCCCTTGCACGCGCCACAGCTTAGCTGCCCTGATACGCACGTATTGAAACGAAACACGCGCCGTGTTCAAAACGTCCGTGTTAACACGCCGCGTGTTGGCTCAACGTGTTGGCGCACGTTTTGGCGAAAGTGCCGCGCCAAACGTACGTTTTCAATCTACGTGTTGAATTCCGTGTCGGCACGCTACGGGTTGCGTGTTGCGTATCGGGGCGGCTGAGCACCGCAGGATCAACGTCACGTTCCGCTGGATGCGGGTGCACAAGCAGGAGTGCCCCTACGCGAAGGTTGCGCAGACCTGGCTCATGCTCGCCGGGTGGCCAGGGGCCGCGAGGAGGAGGCGAGAAAGGCGGAGGGGCAATCCTGGCAACAGGCATGTTGCGACTTGCTCATGTGGGGGGCTGGACGTAATGCGGGCGATCCAGTCCAACCAACCAAAAGGGACACGAGAAGGATGCGCTACGGGGAATGATGCCGATGGGGCTCAGAGGAGTGAGGCTAGGAATGAGGTGGGAGATGGTGGATGCACAAACAGAGTGAAGAGCACAGCAGCAGCAGCAGCACTAACTCTGACATACCCTCTAATGGGCGACAGGGATGGGGAGCAGGATTGGACAGCAGACGCGCAGCCTCGACTCCCGAAGTCCGGCCTGCCCGGGGAGGTCTTCTTCAGCCGAAGCCGAGAGCGCGCTGACCGAAGGCTGCGAACCCCCGTGGCCTCTGCTGCGCGCGCTCGGCTTGCGCCTGTTTTATGGACGTTCTTTGGTTGATGTCTTGACGCCTCGCCGAATCGCGTATCCCGACCAACGCAACTCTAGGCCTCCTAGATGGGGTCGGAGTAGACGGGATCAGAGGATCACGCCGGATCGCCGATGCATCGACGATGTAGCTCGATGCAGAGCCCGATTTTCTCTACGCCGACGTCGCCGATGCGTCGTCGACGTCGACGCTGTATCTCCAGTACATCACCGATGCATCGCCGATGCATCGCCAATGCATCGCCTATGTATCGGCGATGCGGCGCGATCCTCCGACCCCACCTATTCCGACCCCATCTAGGAGGCCTCTACCAACCAGAAATTATTCCCAGGCGAGTGGGCAAGAGAAGAGCACTGGAGGGTCATCAGTGGAAGAGAGGGAGGGGAGACCAGTCCAAGCAAAACATGCGTCGGTCCTTCCAATCTCCATCAAAGACAAACTTCGTGACCTCTTGAGCCTCTTGCAGGCCCTTGGCAGCCGTTTTGGGGCTCTTTGGGTACTCGTTTCGGAGCCGTCAGGTCCTGCGTGGAGTTCTCCCTGGGGCTCTTTTGCGCGTCTTCGGGGCCCGCTTTGGGACATCACGGATGCCATCGGCAGAAATTGGGGCCCTCGGTTCAGGCCCGGCCTTATTGGGGCTATCTTGGGGTGGGTGGTTCCTGCGACCCTCTCGGGCCCTCTTCGAGCCGATTTGGAGCACAGTGTATGAACATCCCCGTTGACTTGGGCCTCGGAGCCTCGCTGGGCCCTGTTGTGTCTCTCTTGGGATGCTCTTGGGGACAGTTGGAACCCCCTTGGAGCCTCTGAAGGACCGGTCTCGGGGGCTCGCATGGGCCACCTCGAGGCCATCCTGGGGCTTCAGCGGACACTGGGAAGCGAAAATGCGGGAAGGCAAACCACGTCAACACACAATCCACTGTTTTGCTGATTCGGACCTGCTGGGCGTCTCCGTGGGAGCCCTTGTGACCCCTTGAGTTAGATCGTCGGGGGAGTCTTGATAACATGTCCGAATCGATTCTGGCCAATAATCTTGCGAAAATCTTCCCCTGAATCTCCGGCCGCAGTCCTGGGGCCCCCTCCGGGGAATTTCCAGGAATCCCCCTTCTGGTGGAAATCTCCGGCGGAACCCCCTGCTTTGAACCAACCAAATCGAGCGGTGTGAAAGTCAATATGGATTTATCTGGTGCATTTGGTGCCACTTTGGAGCCACATCCGAGCAGATAATCAAGGCACTCACTACTCCCCCTCCTCTGAAGCTGGCCTGGCGTCTCTTCATGAACTTGCCAGAACGCTTGCACAGCTTCGGAACCTTTGCAGCCTTGCAGATTTGCTTGTTGTGCTGATTCGATGTCCTCGACTGCAGGGGGAGGAGCAGATACCGTAACCATCAGGGGCAGGAAAGAGACTCGGACGGGCTAGGACGAGGATCAATCCGTTCCAGAGCGTTCCAGAATGCTCTCAGAGCGTTCCAGAACGGTCTGAGAAGGCCGCAGCGCCCGAGATGCCCCCCAGAGCCGCCGGATCTCAGAGGTTCTCGATCTACCCTGCCCCGACGTTATCCTCGTCCTGGCTTCGTCTTAGATTCTTAGATACGGGAGCGAAACATTGCATAAACATACAAACTCGGAGGTCGGCGCGGATTTCTTGGATCCGCGCTGGACCCCCCTCCCTGGCATGCGAAGCGCGTCCGCGCGGACCTCCGATTTTTTTCGAGCGGGGAACCTTTTGGGGCCCCAGGAGGGCCTCAAATGCCCCCGAGAGCACCCCAAGAGTGCCACAAGATGGCCTCAAGATGCCCCCCCAGACGCTCAGTACGAGGCCCAGCCCGGTGGGGAGTTCCAACCATGCCCCAAAGTGGCCTGAAGAGGGCCACCGCAGATGCCACAAATAGCCCCAAGATGGCCCCGAGAGGTCTCCAGTGGCCCCGTAACCATGAACAAAAATCCTCCACCCAGCATGGATTTTCATCCGTACGGTCGAACCGAGGTAGAAGATCGAGGTCGGTTCGGGGAGGGTGCCGTATAATGTTGTTCGTGTTTATTGGATGCTCTCGTGCATCCCGGGGGAGGGTACCCCCGAGTGTTCTTCCATTGGGCCGACGGAGGGTCCCGTGGTCCCATGGTCTTGAAGGATGTTGTTCCGTCCTGGGTCCGACTGGACTTCGGTACCTCGTCCTTCATTTCTTTCTCCGCGAATGACCGTGCAGGACTGCCGGCCACCTCCTGTCCACAGGCACGGGAGGGGCAGAACCTTGGAGCTTGTTATCAAGGGGGGCAAGGTTTCGAAGGAGCGCTAGCGGCAGACCCCCGACGAGGAAAGGGATGTGTGTGTGTGTGTTTGTGTGCTAGTGGATTCCCTTCGGGGATCATCCGCTAAAATTGGAACGATACAGAGAAGATTAGCATGGCCCCTGCGCAAGGATGACACGCGCAAATCGAGAAGTGCATACACTTTTTTGTTGTGTTTGTGTGCTAGTGCCCCCTCCTGCCCCCCTGCAAAGAGGATCTGTGTTTGCCCCCTCCCCCCCTCACCCCCCCTTCGCGCCAGGAAGGGGGGGGGGGGTGAACCCCCCTTCCCCCCCTTTTGAAAGATGGGTTCAACCTCATCCCACCTCGTGGACGGAAGTGCAGGGGATGCGCTCCGGCGGACGGTGGTGCTAGGGATAGGGCGTTAGAGACAGGGTGCTAGGATTAGGGTGTTCGGTTCAGGGGGTGAGGCTTAGGGTGCGTTCAGGCGTCAGGGTTTCGGCCAGGGTGTTAGGGTTAGGGTACTTCGGATTCGGGCGTAAGGGCGTCGGCTTCAAGGTTCTGGTGTTAGGATTCGGGTGGTAGGTCTAGGGCGTTAGGGTTGGGGGGATGGTGTTAAGGTTAGATTACTTAGCGTTCTAGTGATAGGGTCGGGGTGACAGGGTCAGGGTTTGGATGTAAGGTTTAGTGCTTAGGATTCGAGTGTTCGGGTTCGGTGGTAAGTGTCGGGGTGTTAGGGTTTGGGGTGTGTGAGCGTCAGGGCGGCAGGGTAGGGTTGACGCGTTGGGGTTCGGACATGCGGCGCAGGGTTAGAGCGTAGGGTCGGGTTGTTAGGGTTCGGGTACTAGGGCTAGGATTACGATAGTACTGTAAGGGTACAGGTTAGGGTGTCAGTTAGGGTTGTTAACGAAGGTTAGGATGGTATTGTCAGGGTCAGGGTGTTAGCATTGTGTATTTGGGCTACGTTTAGGATGTCAAGGCATGGGTGGTGGGGTTACGGTTTGGGTGTTCGGTTTAGGGTGTTAGGGTTGGAGTTGGGGTGGTCGTGGCAATGTTAGCGTTTTAAGGTAGGGTGTTAGGGTTAGCGTATGAAGGTCAAGTTGATAAGGTTTAGATGTGTATGGTCAGGGTTATGGTGCTAGGGTCAATGGGGTTAGGGGGGTAGGGCTAGGGTGATGCGGCAAGGATTGTAGGATTAGGGTGTCAGGGCTCTGGTCTGGGGTGTTCAGGGTAGGGTACGTGATCGGGGCCAGGGTGTTAGGGATTGGGTGCGAGGCTATGATGTCAGGGCTGGGGTGCCCGGGTTTGGGTTGGGATGTGAGGGTTAGGGTCAGGGTAAGGATGTTAGGGTTAGGGTGCTCGGGTTAGGGTAAGGATGTTAGGGTTCGGGTTAGTGCTGAGTGTCAGGCTGTTCGGGCTCGTGGATGCGAGGGTGTTACGATTTGGGTGTTAGGGTGAGGGTGCTAGGAACAGGGCTCGAAGGGTGGTGGGGTTGGGGGTTGGTAGCGTGTCACTGCCTGGGCTGGTGCTCATTGTTAGGGAGTCAGTCTTGGGGTCAGAAGACCAGGGTGAGTGTGTTAAGGTTACGTGAGGTGATCCGTCCACCCTGGGTGGCCCTCGCCTCGCCCCCCCACCCACCCCTCCCCCTCCTCCTCCTCCTCCTCCTCCTCCTCCTCCTCCTCCACCTCCTCCTCCTCCTCCTCCTCCTCCTCCTGCTCCTGATCTTTCTCCTCCCTCCTCCTCCTCCTCCTCCTCCTCCTCCTCCTCCTCCTCCTCCTCCTCCCCTCCTCCTCCTTCTTCTCCTCCTCCTCCTCCTCCTGCTCCTCCTCCTGCTCCTCCTCCTCCTCCTCCGCCTCCTCCTCCTCCCCCTCCTCCATGCAGTGGGTTGATGACATAGACCCGCTCGTTGTTTCCCCAACCCTCCTTGGCTGGGTACCCGTTTTGAATAGAGCACTGCGGTCTCCAGTCCTCCTCCTCCTCCTCCTCCTCCTCCTCCTCCTCCTCCTCCCGCCTCCCGTCTCCCGCTCCCCTCTTGTCTTCTCTTGCTTTGTGCGGACCTCGCCATCCCTGGGGGGCTGCGATCTGCGACACTCTCGCCACTTTCGATGGCTGCTGGGGAGGCCGTCCCTGAGGGGGGGGCTGCGATCTGCGACAGTGTCGCCACTTTCGAGGGCTGCTGGTGGGTCCTGCGGAGTGAGGCACCGCGTGGACCTGAGCGAGACCTCTCCGTCCCTGGGGGGTTGCGATCTGCGACACCGTCGCCACTTTCGAGGGCTGCTGGTGAGTCTTGCGGACTGGGGCACCGCGGGGGGCGAGACCTCGCCGTCCCTGGGGGGCTGAGATCTGCGACACTGTCGCCACTTTCGAGGGCTGCTGGTGGGTCCTGCGGACTGGGGCACCGCGGGGACCTGAGCGAGACCTCGCCGTCCCTGGGGGGCTGCGATCTGCGACGCCGTCGCCACTTTCGAGGGCTGCTGGTGAGTCTTGCGGACTGAGGCACCGCGGGGGGCGAGATCTCGCCGTACCTGGGGGGCTGCGATCGGCGACACTGTCGCCACTTTCGAGGGCTGCCAGTGAGTCTTGCGGACTGGGGCACCGCGGGGACCTGAGCGAGACCTCGCCGTCCCTGGGGGGCTGTGATCTGCGACTGTCGCCACTTTCGAGGGCTGCTGGTGGGCCCAGCGGAGTGAGGCACCGCGGGGACCTGAGCGAGACCTCGCCGTCCCTGGGGGGCTGCGATCGGCGACACTGTCGCCACTTTCGAGGGCTGCTGGTGGGTCCAGCGGAGTGAGGCACCGCGTGGACCTGAGCGAGACCTCGCCGTCCCTGGGGGGCTGTGATCTGCGACACCGTCTCCACTTTCGAGGGCTGCTGGTGGATCCTGCGGACTGAGGCACCGCGGGGACCTGAGCGAGACCTCGCCGTCCCTGGGGGGCTGTTATCTGCGACACTGTCGCCACTTTCGAGGGCTGCCAGTGAGTCTTGCGGACTGGGGCACCGCGGGGACCTGAGCGAGACCTCGCCGTCCCTGGGGGGCTGTGATCTGCGACTGTCGCCACTTTCGAGGGCTGCTGGTGGGCCCAGCGGAGTGAGGCACCGCGGGGACCTGAGCGAGACCTCGCCGTCCCTGGGGGGCTGCGATCGGCGACATTGTCGCCACTTTCGAGGGCTGCTGGTGGGTCCAGCGGAGTGAGGCACCGCGTGGACCTGAGCGAGACCTCGCCGTCCCTGGGGGGCTGTGATCTGCGACACTGTCGCCACTTTCGAGGGCTGCTGGTGGGTCCTGCGGACTGAGGCACCGCTGGGACCTGAGCGAGACCTCGCCGTCCTTGGGGGGGCTGTTATCTGCGACACTGTCGCCACTTTCGAGGGCTGCTGGTGGGTCCAGCGGAGTGAGGCACCGCGGGGACCTGAGCGAGACCTCGCAGTCCCTGGGGGCTCTGGAGGGCTGCTGTGGGATACGTTCGGCGCATTGGGCGCATGGCACAGCCAACGGCGGTGATTTGTGAAGCAGACCATCTGCCGGGCGATGGCCATAACGTTGCGCCTACACGTATCCCGTGGGGGCTCTCAAGAGTTGCTGCGGGATACGTTGGGGGCAACGGGCGCATGGCACAGCCAACGGGGATGATGTGTTATTGCGTAGCACTTATATCTTGATCGGGGGCTTGCGAGCCTTCGGATTGCTGCTCGCAAAATCACATGCGTCCATGTTACGGCAGCGCCCCCGTTGTAGCAATCCTGATGTACTTACGCCCCGCATTGCGCAAGGGTTGGGTACGTCGCCAGGGTAATTGTTTTTGTTCTGCTCTTGCATGCTGGCCATTTCGCTACAACTGTGCCCCTGTTTTCGGTAGCTGCATCCGCCAGCGCAGGCGACTCCTGCCTAGCCGCCGACGCAAACAGGTGTTCGGGTTAGGGTTGTAGGGTGGTAGGGGTAAGGTTCCAGAGCAAGGGGGGCCCTTTGGAGCAAATGGGGTGAGGCGGGTGGGGTGTTCGGGACGGCAGACCGAGGAAGGGAGGGAAGAGGGGCCCCCTCCCCCGTCCTCTGGGTCAGCCATCGGCGCGCCCTCCAGGTTTTCTGTGGGCTAATAACCTAAACCACCGACGCCCAGAGTACTGGTGGAGCTTCCAGCAACTGTGGCGTATACGTGATCTGCTCAGCAGCACAGCCGTCATGGCATGGTTGCTTCGGTGTCGCACGCGGCGAATATAGTGCCGATGCGGACTCCTATAATGTCCGTTGGCTCGTGAACATTCGGGTTGGCAATATTCGACAGCCCTACCACACGTGTTAGTTTTGATTATCAGTTGAAAACGTTTGGCATGGTGCTTCCACCCCAAGGCAACGACAAAGACGATGACAAGAAGCATACCCGGGGAATGATCAAGATCCTCGACCCTGTTACGCAGAAGCCGATTGAGAATACTGGACTGTCGCGCCCATCCAGGCACTGATCTTGCTAATGCGCCCGCCCTCTCTGTGCTGGATCTGCCGGGGACGGAGGGGAAGGGAGGGGAGCGCAGGAGAGGGTAGGATTGAAAGGGAGGAGTAGGAGCAGGAGGAGGAGGAGGAGGAGGAGCAGGAGCAGGAGCAGGAGGAACAGGAGGAGCAGAAGCAGGAGCTGGAGGAGGAGCAGGAGGAGCA